CTGGTACCGCCGATTTATACCGCAATTCGCCACAAGGAGCGAACCGCTGACTCGCCTATTGAAAAAGGATAGGCGATGGCAGTGGGGAGCGGAGCAACAAGAGGCATTTGAGCGGATTCGATGAATTAACGGTCGCCCCGATACTCTCGTGTCCAAATTTTACGCTGCCGTTCACCGTACAGACGGATGCGAGTGCAGTAGGGTTAGGAGCGGTGCTCACCCAGGACCACGAGGGGAAGGAGCAAGTAGTAGCTTTCCCGAGTCGCGCGTTGTCGGAGGCCGAATAGATATATTCGGTGACGGAACTTGAATGCCTCGCGGTGGTGTGGTCAGTGCAAAAATTTCGACTATACCTGAAAGGTTACCGCTTCACGGTAATAACCACAGTAGCCTCCGTTGGCTGCATAACTTGAGGAACCCCACAGGTAGACTGGCGCGATGGGCCCTTGAGCTTTCGGAGTACGATTTTGAGATCGTGTATCGGAAAGGAGCGTTACACCACGTCCCGGACGCACTGTCGCGTCGACATGAGAGCGAACTAGAGAAAACTTTAGTGGCTGCCGCGGACAGCGCGGGGGACCCGCGCCCTGGAATAGGGAACGAGTGGTATCGTAAACGATACCTGGACGTGAGTAGGCACCCGGAGCGATTCCCGACATGGAAAGTGGTTAACGATCGTCTCTATTACCTGCCATCGAGGCCTGTAATTTCGGACTTGGTAGAGGACCTCGATCGCTGGAAGTTAGTGTTGGAGAGAGGCGATCGGAAAGAGGCACTCCGTGAGTCTAACGACCATCCCCAAGCTGGCCATTTAAGGGTGGAAAAAATGCACCACCGGGTAGCGGTCACGTACTACTGGCCAAGGATGTTCCGAGACGTGGTTAAGTACGTAAAGAGATGCGATCCCTGTCAGCGAACAAAGGTCAAGCAACAGGCTCCCGCAAGGCTGATGGGGAAGTGCATAGCGGAAAAACCATGGGCCGTAGTCGCGGCGGACATAATGGAGCAGTTTCCAAGGAGTAAGGCCGGTTTCAAGTACATGTTAGTAATTCAGGATTTGTTCTCCAAGTGGATGGAAGTCCGAGATTTGCGCCAAGCGAACAACAAGAAAATTTGCGAGGCTCTGGAGGACCTGGTGATTACGCGGTGGGGAACTCCGAAATATTTATTGACAGATAACGGCACGGAGTTCGTGAATAGGGTCATGAGCAAATTTCCGAACGCGCACGGAGACACGCATACCACGATACCGCCTGTATGAAGTTAGACCCCCACTTTTCGAATTTATTAATTTTGACAGTTGTGCTGATTTGTCCTAGGTTTGTGCTACATTGTGCTCGATTTATAAATTTTTAATACGAAAAATGAGCGAGAAAAATAGAAAAAACGTTTTTTTTGTAACCCCCCACTTTTTTATTTTCGACATTTTTTTTATTGTGCTAGGTTGTCCTAAGTTGTGCTAACATTGTGCTAAAGTATTATCTTCGAAAAATAATCATGAAAGGAATAAAACGAAAAAAAACGATTTTAGGCAGAAAAGAAGAAAAGTAAGATTTATATTCGTATAAGTCAACCAAACGATATATAATTATATATCTGAGTTGCTCTAGGCTAGCACAAGTCAGCACAAGCTTCAGTTCCGCCAGCACAAGAATCTAAAGGGCACTTTACTCTTGACCGCGGTCCTTCGCGTTCCCAACCTATGTCATTAATCACGACTTCTAGACTTTGGATCGACTCAGAATTGCATATTTGAGTTGTGCTAGCCTAGCACAAGTCAGCACAAGCTTCAGTTTCGCCAGCATAATAATCTAAAGCGCACTTTACTCTTGACCGCGGTCCTTCGCGTTCGCAGTCTGTCATTAATCACGACTTCTAGACTTTGGATCGACTCAGAATTGCATATCTGAGTTGCGCTAGCCTAGCACAAGTCAGCGCAAGTTTCAGTTTCGCCAGCACAAGAATCTAAAGGGCACTTTACTCATTACCGCGGCCCTTCGCGCTCGCAGTCTATGTCATTAATCACGACTTCTAGACTTTGGATCGACTCAGAATTGCATATCTGAGTTGTGCTAGCCTAGCACAAGTCAGCACAAGTTTCAATTTTGCCAGCACAAGAATCTAAAGGGCACTTTACTCTTGAACGCGACCCTTCGTGCTCGCAGCCTGTCATTAATCACGATTTCTAGATTTTGGATCGACACGGAATTGCATATCTGAGTTGTGCTAACCTAGTACAAGTCAGCACAAGCTTTAGTTTCGCTAGCACAAAAATATTAAAGGTATTTTATTCTTGATTTTCGCAACTTTTCGCACGCGCAACTTGATTGATCAGGATAATATTAAATTACACTAAAGTAAAGAAGATATCTCTCTTTGTTGTGCATTTGTTTTCTTTTTTTTTTTTTTTTTTTTTTTTTTTTTTTTTTTTTTTTTTTTTTTTTTTTTTTTTTTTTTTTTTTTTTT